GTTTCTAAACAACCATGATTTTCTCATACTCAATGAGATGTAGGGTGTTCAAGAGTGGGATCACTTCAAAATATTTATTTATTTATTTGTAGGTAGATGGAAAGCAAACTGCAAATATTGTTTATGAAGAAGTTTTGTTATAATCTTAAGATTTTAGATAAAGTTTATGTTCAAGTTATTACTTTGAAATATATGATTGCTGTTAAACATACATTGTTTTAATTAAGTTTAAACATTCCACGTCAGTTGACGGGTATTTCAACTGGTAAAAAATAAAGATAAAATATAAAAAACAGAAAAATAACCTTAAATTAGGTCAGTTCTTTCCAGCTGTGTAAAAACCGTTCAGCTAAACATTGGAATATTTCAGACTGGTGAGTCTTCTGATACTCAGAGCGAGGCGGACAGTTCAAAATCTGGAAAAGTTCGTCGAAAGCTCCCCCCTCTTCCTCAGGATCAAGAACCTTCACCTATTCCTACAAGGAGGGGTAAAGACCGTGCTCGAAACCTTTCAATTGGTAGTTCTCCCCTTCATTTAACAGACAGACAGTGGGTTCAGCGGACGTCTTCACTAGATAGTGCACCTGTAACAACGTCTGGAGGAGATTTGACTCGTGTAAGTTTGAGCGATCATTATATCAAACAGTTGGGAAGTTTAAATAGTCAACCATCAGAACCGACTTCGACTGTTATACCAAAGAAAGATGTTTCTCAGAAACCCACTTCGTCATATCTGAAGTCTCCGCTGATGACACCCGAGGCAGTTTCTCAACGTTTGGGATTAGCTGACTTTAGTCTAGCAGGTTCGAAGTTACCAACATATATGCAAAATTTGAAGCATCAGTTGCGTGAGGAACTAAGAACTGTGACTGAAGAACGAAAAAGACTCCTAGAAATCAGAGAAAAAAGTCGAAGCCTGTACCGACGAACTGAGACTGATCTAGTTTCGCTGCATCCTTCTGTATGGTCGGATGATCCAACATCTCAGCTTGATACTCTTGCTACGCATCGAATAGCTACGCATTCTTCTTCAACACCTCTATCAACTAAAAGATCCACGTCAGCTCGAACCTCGCCCCAGGGGTCCCCGAGGAAATCTAGACACCGAAGGCATGCCTCTGACCCTAAGCTTCCTCCTTTTTCACCAATTAAGGAGGTCCATGACACCGAATCCGAGCTGGCGACGTTTTCAGCAATGAAAAACCAGAACATTAATAGTGGAGCTTTCAAATCTTTTGAGTTTGAGTCAATAGATGAACAACTCAATTACGAAGGAGGTCGACCTGCATGGCACCATCATGGCAAACATGGAGAGGACTATACCATTTCCGAAGGTCAGCTTTTAGACAGCAGCAGACCTCAGCTGCGAGAAACCGCTATAAGCAGCATTATGGATGACAGGAACTTCGATTGCCAACAGACGTTTTCTCAAGAGTTGGCAAGGTATGTTGTTGTTTGTTTCACAGTACCATTAATTCATCATGCTATTTAATTTTACAGTTTAATGGCCTTGATGAGTAAGGAGAAGGGTCATTGTTTGCTATTTGTATGTTTGTTTGTAATTAAGCACAAAGCCTACCTGTGCTCTGCCCACCACGGGTATCGAAATCAGGATTCTAGCGTTGCAAGTCCGTAGACATACCACTGTGCCACTGGGGGGCGTAGCCATATGTTGGATAAATTCTACAATAGGCACACAAACTGCAAATCCTTGACAAATACGTAAATAAGGGAATATGATAGCTAACGTACAATATTTGTAAACATAATAGCAAGGTAAATGCTCTTACATGTTTCATTATTTTGAATTATTTCTCGAGAAACTCTTTGGTGGATGAGAAATACATTTTGAGATTTCTGATTAAATGACCCAGCAAAATGCAATTCAACACATATCGTTTACTTTAATGCAGTTCAACACATATCGTTTACTTTAATGCAGTTCAACACATATCCTTTAATTTAATGCAGTTCAACACATATCCTTTAATTTAATGCAGTTCAACACATATCCTTTAATTTAATGCGGTTCAGCACATATCGTTTACTTGAATGCAGTTCAACACATATCGTTTACTTTAATGCAGTTCAG